TCCACCTTCAACTGTTTGTAACCATGTGCTTGCACTTAAAGATTATGAAGAAAGAGAAATCACTCACTGTTTTCCTGTGCTCCTCCTGATCGAAGATTACGATGATGAGTACTTTGAAGAACTACAGACTGTGTTATTGGAGGCTGCAGCAACCAGGAAAATGAACACCCCCAGACCTTACTTCATCCTCATATGCTGCAGACGATGCAATGACCCTGAAAGTCTCTGCAAGGCTTCTCCACTGGACACAGTCGCTGTCACTCACAAGCTGACAGAGTCAGAGAAAAGTCTGTTCAACACCAAACTTGAGAAACTGAAGCAGAAAGATGTCAAGCCAGAATTCATACTTACATTTGTCCTGATGTGCGAGGAGTTCAACGCCACGTACGTGTCAGACTTGGTAGCACACACACTGCACGGCATAGACCTTCACTCCCGGGACACCTGCCTGATGCGTTACGTGGCTTTGCTCAATTGTTACGTACCCAATTCCTATGTTTCCCTGTCACACTGTGAAGCCTTTCTGGGACTGGGGGCATATACAGAGAGTACATCAAGAGTATATGATTTCAAACATCGCTTGAGCGAACAAGCGAGAATGATTTTTATCGAGCTAAGGGAAAGTACCAGTTACATTTCATCTGTTCGGATAATACACTGCCTGGTTGCAAAAGAAATTCTCCATCAGCTTTCAGGAAATGAATCTCAAAGTCAACTTGCAATGAATCTTATTCAGGAAAAGACACTGTTTGAAAACAGATTTGGACGAGAAGAATTCATAAAATTTATCAAACATCTCTTTATTCGACGAGATAAAAGAAGCAGGGGTGACAACACCGACACGCTCTTCTCCCCATTCATTGAACACGTCTGCGAAGCTGAAGACTGTGAAAAAGCTATTGCTGTTTTAAAAGCTGCATATGAACTCCTTGGAAAAGATCCTTTTTTTGCCCAGCAGGTTGCCAGGCTAAATTACATCAATGAAAAATTCGAAGACGCAAAACATTGGGCAGAGGTTGCAAAAGGTCATTTGCCAGATGATTCTTTTATTTTAGATACAGAAGGTCAAGTCTACAGGAAATGGTTTAGTTTCACTGTGGATAAAATGACAGAGGAGGACACCCCTGAAATGGTCATCGAGAAGATAGAGATTGCTCTTAAAGCTATGAAATGCTTCAGGGCTGCACAACAGGCTGCGAAAGCAGAACGTGAAATTATGAACAACGCTGGCTTTCACGGAGAAGTAGAAGTAGGTTGCCGACTCCTCCGGTTCCTGTCCACAGTCCCTGTATTCCGCAGAAGTCCAGAGGGGGAATACACTGAGCTTGTGAAATACCTCACCACAGATTACATTCCTGAAGAGATAAAAAGAACATGGGGGAGGCTTCACTCCCGCCTGAAGGGCTTGCGCCAGAACCTGTACAATGCTCTGGAATGGATCTCAGAAGAACTAAGTTATTTCCAGACAGATAAAAACCAAGACAAGGATGATGAAAGTGATGAAAAGGAAGAACAAATTTATAATCCTAGAAAATGGCTGAAAAGACAGTCTGAGGTATATGCTAAATACTTCATTTCAGCATCACTTATTGAGGAGAGCAACAATGGCCCTGAAACCGAGCTGATCAGACGCATGAGCATTTACAAGAATGGTGGAGGAAATGTCACCAACATCCTGTCGTTCTTAACAGATAAGAAAGAGAACAGGTCAGCTGAAAAGCTAGAAAGGATCCTCAGTTTGTATCCAGACAACCCACTGAGGGACAGGCTGGAGGACAATGACCTGATCAATTATATTTTGTGCCACATCACCTTAGCCTGCTTAGCACCAGGATCAGCCAAACTTCTTCCACTGCAAACTCTTCGTGAGCTCAGTACAAGATTCTTCAAAGCAAAAAGACCATTTCCAGCAAGTGCCTATTTTTTGCTCACCTTGCTGTACTGGCCAGATGAGGCACTGGACAAAGACCGTAATCCAGATAAAGATGAAATTCTAACTTCAGCCCTTCAAACCCTGAAACGTTTATGTGACATCAAGATGAAAGATGTCCCTACCAGGAAGAGAAGAATCTACACCCATTTTTTTCTGGGAAAGGGTTATGGCCTAAGTAAGATTGTGCAGAAAGTTAAAATTGATAAATTAATTACGGGGCCCTTAGATGAGAGGAGAATGAAGTGGCTACATGGAACTGTGTGGAATATTCCCAGGATTCGTGACAGTCTCAAAAGAGTTTCTGGCTGGACAGAGGACAGGAATTTGTTTATATATGGTCACAAAAAGAAGCTCCCCATCCTGGCACTCCATCGTGAATCAGTGCCCCTTGGAAATGAAAATGTGACCTTTTATTTAGGCTTTTCATTTAATGGGCTTGTTGCTTTCAATATTGAGGTTGAAAACGATGCAGCCTGCAGCAGAACCTAAGGGGTGTAGCACTGTAACAACAGGCACTGTGCTCTGAGAACATACAGCACTGCAAGTGTCTGCTGACACATCTGAAACAAAAACGGGACTGCCCTGGCTGAGCACCAGGGAGCAAGAAAACCACAATTAACTCCTTGAAACCTACTAGGAAAGTGTACCTTGAGACAAGCCTTTGATAGTTCTGGAGTCACAGAAAGCAAGATTTCAACCTTAAGACAGCAAGAATTGCTGCCAAAGACTCACTATTTCTCTTCCCCCAATATCTGGAGAACTGAGCTCTGGAATAAAACAGGTCTAGTGGGATCCTTTTTCTCAGCTCACATATTAGGATTTTAAGTTAATTTCTGGGTGGTCTTGATCAGTAACAGAATTTGTCCAGTGTAACATTTTTCTTCCTGAATCAGCAGCAGAGAAGTGAACTCACACCACGCCCAGGGCTCTGGCTGTAACACACTCCGCTCACTGACACTGCCGTGGATGAAATGAGCCACCCATCAACTGCAAAGCCAACACCCAGCAGAGAAGCAGTTTTAAAGCAGACTTTGCAAACATCAGGTCTGATAAAAAACAGGCCTCAAATTTTATCTAACTTCACTGCTTCTCTGGGTAAATATTACCTTATTAGATATATCTGTACCTGGGGCGGGGTGCAGACGCACGAGCAGTTAAGACGTGGATGACATAAAAGATTATTTGTAAGCACTGTTATGAGTCCATAGTCCACACAATTCCTGCACTTGGTGAAATGTTTTTGCATTATCATCCAAGAAATGTATACAGAGTACAAGTCTTAAATTTATACCCATTCTTTGAGAAATGCAAGGGAGTTTGTTTTTTAGCACTGTTTACAATGATCATGTCACATTCAGTTTCTAATAATAAAGCTGTCTGATATGGCTGGAGTTTGGTATTGTTTGACAGAAGATATTGTGACTGAAATTGCCAGAAAATCTGTCATATAACTTTTTTTATCTAATAAACATCCTTTATGAAGAATTACCATATCTACATGAGCTTTATTACCCTACCTGAAGATGTAGTTCTAACAGTAGCAAGGTATGATTTGCTTTTCCAACTTCAGACAAGATCTGGGCTCAGTCAGAAACTGTAAAAGGAATTGCAAGCCACTGTGAATTCAGAAGAAACAGGATGAAACCAAAGATTATTATCTAGTCCAAGCCTTCACCTTCTGGCCTCAGGGAGCAGAAACAATTGGCAGGAGCAAGAGAGCTGGAAGGCCAGAGAAAGCCCCCTCTGCCCCCCAGCCCTGATGCAGGAGACAGGGGTATGTTTGAAAATTTAGTTAGGCCAAGGAAACTTTCCTAGTCTAGAATAGGGCATAAGGATGGCTTCAACCCAGAGCAGAAACAGGACATGCAAACTTACTGAAAAGCTGCTTAACAGATACACAACCTGCTCAAATGCTGTACAAGCAGCACAGGTTTTATTTACAAAAAGAAACTGTTACTATGATGAAAAATTAACACCAGCTTGGCCCAGAGGGTCTGTCTTGTACCTTGTTTCCTGCCTGTACACCCAACTCTACCCTGCAGGTACCAAAGCTTTGCTCTGTAGCCCCACCACTGAGATGCTCGAGTCTCTCCTTTGAGGAAGAAAAGACTTACAGAAGTCTTTTCAAATATACCCATTTCTACCTCGAAGAAACTGAAAGCTTGGATGCAAACTCTTTACCTCACCCCCCACAGCCCGCAGAAAAAACAAGATGTGAAGTCTAAACTTACAGATGAACTCTTGGGGTCCCACGTTGCACACACCAGCTGCAGAGGCTCCCAGGGCAGCAGGTACAGACCCCTCCTTCCCAGTCACATTCACACTGGGAGGGCTTTCACCAGCCACACACCACCCCCCTTGCTCCAGCCAGCTTTTAGGACAAAGCAGTTCCCATCTTCCAAATGCCCCCTCAGATTTCCCTGGAGCCAAAAGGGTCAGAGGACAAAAAGAGCTTGTGCAGAGCAGCATCTTCCCTGAAGGCTCCTCTACTCAGTGCTCGTCACACATCCCCCATTCAAAATGCCATCAATTGTTCCAGGCAGCATTAAAATATGGATTGATCTTCCTTTTAACACTCTCTTAGAAATTAATCTGTGAGTAGAGTGGTAGCTAAATGAGCCCAAACCAGCCCAGCACAGCAATCCACTCTCATCCCGTACACGAGGTACAAGGACACACACATTCCAAGCTACCTCATCTCTCCAGGGTTTTGCTAGGAAAGGGTTTAGAACAGAGCATCTCACAGCACACCTGCTCCACCAGCTGTCATGAAAAAAACGCTGTTGCAAACTTTTCCTCCACATTCTCCCAACTCTTCCAACTTCAGTAGTCAAATTCCTTGTAAAGTCTGCTCAGCAAGACAGCAAATCAACAGCAAAAGGAAGTTACAGTTAAGAAGTCAGGATTCTCTTGCTTATCTCCATTTTGTTTTAAGATAACACTCACATAAGTGAGTCTTTGCAGCTTACACACATTTAAAAAGCTGGTACCAGGTTATTCACATGATAACATTTTTTGCAATAATAACTTACATAGGTTTACAAGAGAAAAAATACCACACAGAAACAGTGGTTCACTTCTTTTAATCAGACACTGTTACAAAGTGGTTACACATTACAGATATGTGCAATGATCCATTGCTGAAGCACACAGTTCATAAAAGGTTCCCAGTGGATGCAAATGTTTGCTCCATGTTTTCTTTGAATCTTCTTTGTAAACTGAATGCTATAAAATTAAGCTAGTTATGTTACTATTTGCATGCATTAAAGTGATGCACATACTTACCAGTCTCTCACTTTGTCCAATTAAATTCAACATCAGTATTTTGCCACCACCTGTCTTTTGAAAAAGATCAGTAATCCCAGCCCTTTCATACCACTTACACGAAAGCAGTATCAAGTGACAGAAAAAACCTTCACAACACATTCATTTCTGTGGCTGTACTGCTACTGAGAGGGGACAACTCACTCACGTGCTCTATGAAGGTACTAAAACCAGCTTGGAGTTTGCTCAGTTTGGGTTCACTGCACAGTGTCCAGAAACCCTGAAGGAGCAATTGGGAGTCAGCAAGAAGTCTAAGGAAATAGTGGGAAATGCCAACCTCTTCCATATATACTGTACCAGAACTGGGGAAGAAGAGTGCTGAACCACTTGAGACTGGACATCCCAGAGATGATGTTCCACCAGAGGCCTAGCAGGACCTACCCTGGACAGATGCACTTGGTTTTGGTTAAGACAGTCTGGAACACACTGTACCCGTTAGTTATCCCCACGGACTGCCAGGCTGGGGTACCAGCAGTGCAGGTGGCACCCAGCCACTGTGAAAACCAGGACTTCATGAGGTACCTGAGCAGCCAAGAGCCATCAGTTCCTCACCCCAGCTCAGTACTCAGTGTTGCAGTATGAACTGGGGTCACCCACAGAGGTTACAAGAAACGTGGATACACCCTGTTACCAGAACAGCCTCACAGCAAGGGATCCCTACTGCTCACACACACCTGCCACCAAGGTGAAGCAAATACAGGTAAAGCTAAGTTAGAAATTTCACTATATAGGACTGCCCTTTTTTTTCCTGCTAGGGAGAAGCATCTGTGCAACATTAGTTTTGCAGACAAAGCAGTTTAGTGTGAAGTACTGAGAACTGGTGTAAAGAAGATGCCAGAGATGGGCTGCAAGTGTAACTCCTGTGAGCCTGGGAAGACACAATCCCCTTGAAAGTGTGTGTGGTGGTCTGAATTCTGCAGCACTGTGTAAGATTCCAGAATTCTAAAATAAACAGTACCACTGCAAGTGGCAAGACACTCATAAACTCACTCCAGCCCCTCCAGATAAGCTGCACAACTGAAGTGTCTGTTCAGCTCCCACTTTACTCTGACCCTTCAAGTACCTACTGTCTATGGAATTATCCATCTACAATGTCAAAAGTCCCTCAGAGTGTGATAACATGGCCTCAAAAAGTGAATTAAAGCACAGATCTACAGCCCATCCAGCTGTGGATCTATGCTTGGTGCTACAGCACAGAAAAAGTTTTTATCTCCTGTGCTGATATGTAGAAATGAGATACATAAAGTCTAAATAAAAATAGATGGATGCAGCCATTCTGGAGAAAGGTGCATCTTCTATCCCATCACAAAGAACCTCTCCTGTTTTCTTTTAAGGTGTAAAATATTCTATAAAATAAAAATAAAATGTCAGAATATCTGAGAATATGGGATAGGGCAGAAGTAAAATAGAGGCACAGCAGTAACTCTGGAGTAAGATAAAACAGCTGGACAAAACCACATTTGTAGGTAGCCTCTGAAGTGCTGCAATGGACTAACAAAAATAATGATTAAAAAAAGCAGAGAAGAACAAGCTCCTGGCTCACAGGCCTAGCAAAGTAAAAATCTGTTGGTAGGAAATGGTAATTAGTAATAGCTAAAGAAAATCCAAGGATTACATTACTGCTATGGAGTTTACAAACAGAAATGCTTAATCCCCAACACAACAAACACAGGATCCTGTTGGTTTGCTGATAAAAAACAGCCTCATCGATAAAGGCATGTTACTGAAGTGATTTCAAAACTTTCCAGTAACATCAAAGGGTATTTGTTAAGGTTCTGTATTAAATTTTCCTTAAAGGTGCTTGCAGGTATTTATTACCTGCCCACAAGCACAGTTAAATCCATTACAGATCTTCCAAAAAAAAAAAATCTAGATGTTCACTCACTACTGAAATCAGTAGTAGATAACAATCACAGTTCAGAGACCAAAATTCCCCTCATGTATTTAAGTGGTATCATTTGAACAAATTAATTCAAATAGGAACATCAGGTACTTACAGATTAAACTAACCTGTACTGGCAGTGCTGTGGAATTTTTCTTCTCTACCAGTAAGTAGCAAATGCTGAAATTCTGCTGCTAGTTAACAGAAACACAAATTGTATTAAACCAAGGTGTTTAACCCATAATTTAGTTTTTTATTAAAAAAAAAAAAAAAAAGAAAAAGCTGCCAAACTTCAATTATTGCAATTTGTTGCTTAAGAAAAGCATATGAAGTAAAGGCGACTATAAAATTATTTTCAATTTGCCCTTACTCTTCTGATATTTTTTCATACATAACCCATAAATTTAACAAGGTCATCCTATTGCCTACCACAAACATAAAGGAAATTACAATACTTACATTGCCAGGTTCCTTCATTTAAGTCTCATAAAGTGTGTTTTCTTATTCTGGACTTTACAAATGAAAAAGTAAAATGTATTTTCTTCCACTTAGATTTATGAGAAAGAAGCTAAAGAATTCAGTGCAAGTAACTCAATGAAAAAAGAGAAAGAAAAAAAGCTCTGCATGATACCCTGAACTCAAAGCTTTATGTAATTTTTTAAGTTGGGAGACAGTGAAATAGCTTCCCCTGGTTGTATTGCACTAATTTCTGGTAATTCAAAATTACTGTCACCAAAAAACAGCTACTCATATTGGCTACTACAGGCAGCAGCAGCTGAAATTCTACACAGCACCCCCACCCCCTTCTGAATAGCACCTGGGAACATGGTAAAGATTTAGACAAAATTCAAGGAAAAAAATTTGAGATATCAGAAGCTTGAATCTCTTCTAAGGCAGTTAGACCTTGTTTCGCTGCCAACAAGAGAATTTTTAAGGAAGCTTTCAAGCTCTCAAAGTTTGTGCTTTTTCACTTTCAGTTAAGATGATACTGGCATTAAAATTCTGTTTTCTTAAAAAACTTTAAGTTCAAGACTGTATTTCTGGAGAAGTTAAATTCCCTGCCACTAAAACAGCCGTGCTGCTGACTGTCCCCACTGCAAGCAAGCCCCTAAGAATGTCAGAGGTTCCTGAAAGCTTGTTCAGAAGGTGCCAGTGCCTCACTACTCACAGCAGGGACCAGGTATATAAATACCAACCCTCCAGCTATTCACACCAGGGTCAGCCAGAACTGCCTCCCCAGGATGCCCAGAACAAATCCCAAGGATAACCCCCTGGATCCTGCAGTCAGGACAGGACATGGCTGAGGCTCCAGTGCCCAGCTCCCTCAGACACACGGGCACAAGACTAAAGTAAAGATGCATTTCCTCCAGCCCAGCCTTCCTGGGAATCTGGGCTCTGCCAACCAAGGCTGCCCAGAGCTGCTGCTCACAGTGTGCAAGGAAACCCCACGTGTTCCTCAGGACCTCCAAAAAAATGTTATCACATTACACTGTAGAATCACCTGAATTCATCCTGATCCCTTCAACAGCTGCCCCAAAACCTCCCTTACTCTGAACAACCTCCCCAGCCCAGCTACTGCACACAATGTGGGAGTCACCAGCACTGCATTCCTACAGAACCCAGGCACTGTTTCACTGCTCTGAGTATTTTGATGGCAAGCACAGATTTTTTTGGAGTCCCTCATGTGTGGTGTGTACTTTATTTACCACATCTCCCATTCACTTCTCTTGTTTAACACGGGTGCAAATTTACCCAATTTAGCAGAGTATCAGTAACTCCTGCCCCTTGAGTAAAAGTCATGTACTTCTACTTAAGCTTAAAAAACCCCTGAACTCCGAGACCTACCTCTGTTAATATCTATAAAAGTCACTAAAATATTGCCATAATTAGAATAGTCACAAACAGCAAGATGTACAACTTCGTGATACACAAGCTGCTGCAATACTGGAATGCAAGGAGGAACACACTTCATCCCTCAAAGTAAAGACTACAAATTATTTTAACTATCCCCCTTAGATCCACACGAGGAGGCAGGGAGGAAAATATCACTAAGGAAACGTCACAAAAAGAGCAAGACATGAACCATTTACACCAGATGAGACTTTTACGAGTCATTTCAAAGAGATGAGAGGCCAGCTGGTCTAACAGCTGAGGAGATACTCCCAGCAAAAAGCACTTTATGTCATCCTGGGGACTACAAGGACAGCAGCACTTGCACATGTCGCTTAAGGACAAAACACAAAGCAAAGGAAAGTCATTGTTGCTGCCAATTTAAGGACAAACATCAGTCTGTGGTAACATCAGAATAACTCCAATGCCATCTGCCAATGCTACCAACTCCCAAAGAGGGAAGAAACAGGACCTGTCCCATCCAGTCCTTCAGTGACTTACAGAAAGGACAGGAATGCCCAGGGGAAGTGAAGGGGGTGAACTACCCACCAGAAACCACAAGCAGTGTTTGCAGTGGAGCAGGAAAATCCAGCCAGAAAACCTTTAATTCATACAGTAACGCCCCACAGAACTGTCTTAACGTCAAATGCATCATTCAAAAGCAGGTAGTGTGAAATTAAACTTCCTGGAATTGCTTAAAAGCACCTTTAAGGAAAAAAAATCCCACAGCAATGTGGTGCTGAAAAAATGTTATATTTTGCTCACAAAACATGCCAAAACATAAAGAAATGGTTCATTTGCTCTGAAGGATTAGTATACAGAGGTTAAACAATGACACAGTGAAAACAGGAACTGCATTTTGGAGAACTGATTTGACATGTTCATGGGAAAAAAATAACTTCAACAAAACCAGATAAAAGCAATCTCCCTGAACTGGGAAACTTTCAGCTCTCACCAGGGTATCAGTTTATAAGGCATAACCCCAGTGTGGATCTAAGTGGGTACTTCACTGGACACAAGACAGCACATGTATCTGAATTTGAGCTTTGTGGGCTTGATGACAGGCTGAACATGAGGAGCTGGATAGAGTCCACCTACTGCTGCATCAGTCTTAAATGGAAACGGGGAAAAAAGTTCAGGATCAGGCATTTGAAATTTGCCTATTTTTCACTTTGAGTCTCCACAAGATTCAGATACCTAAAGTAAGAAGTACAACCCACACTATTATTTTGGGTTAAACAGTTTCCTTGGACATTGTAGGGAAATAAGAATAAACCAAATGCTCCTGTAAACTAAGAAAGTGAAACAAATCCTAGTTGAAGAGTTGTTCTCATCTTCACTGTTATTGGGAGAGCACCACAATGAGAATTAGAAAAGCAAGGCCATGCTCAGTAACTATTTTGGAACAGTCAGAGGACAATTTTCCAGCCAGACTGGGTGACTTGGAGGGGTCTTCTCCAGGAAAAATGCAAAGGGCAGAGTACAAGCAAAGAAGGGCACAACAGGAATGTGCAATCACTCTTCTAAGTTAAGAATTACAACTCTGTCCTTGAATTCAAATTACTGAAAATCCCATTGGGGGCCATTATTTAGCAAAATCTTGAAGAAATAAGACAGAGTGTATGCTCATCAAAAACTACCATAAATTTTGAAAACCTGAAAAAAAATTGTAAAATCAGACTCCTACATTTATTTTCTATTTCACTGCTGATAGGCTGCAAGACCTCCTTGGACAAAACCTGCTCTTCTGAAGCTGAAGTTGTCTTTAAGCAACCTCAAGCTTCAATGTATTTGCACCAGAGCGAGCAGCTTTTCCTTCACAAAGGGTACAATTTTTTGCTAGTCACTGTGTGAGAGAAGGAACTTCAAATAAACATAACTAAGCAAATTTTGAATATGCAACAGAATTCCACAAAGTTTAAAAAAAACTGCTGTGACTTTCACTATTGTTGCAACAGTCCAAATACTGTTGAGTTTGGTGTATTGGAGAGGTTGAGGAAAAGGTTCTTCCAGAAACTCCAGAAGAAAAATCTGCAGTTTCCATTTCTCACTCTTCTATTCTGTGTTACCAACTTGGATCAAACCTCAGGTTCCTCCCAGGGCTCTACATTAATATTTGCTGAGGTGCAGCTCACGTATGCAGCAGGATTAACATCTCAACCTTCTGCAAAGAAACTGTTCTGGAATTTGGGCTACACAATTTGGTGCCTATAAATGTCACCTGCTGGGTAAAACCTATTTTAAGCACTTCAACAGATCCATCTCCCCAGAAGAGGAAACATTAGTACTTGGTATTTACATGCCACTAATTCAGAGACTACACAAAGTCAACACTACCAAACCCCAAAACAAATACAGCACAAATGCAATGCAGGGAAAGGTGGGGAGGGGCAGTGTGGCTGAAGGACCCCCTGAGCAGCCTCAAAGGAAATGCATTCCAAGAGAAAAGGTACCCAAACATCTTAAAACAGCCTCCCTCCCCCTAAGACTCTTAAAATCACAACGATAATAAAAAGATAAATATTAATATAGAGCCCATCTACCAAAAGAGAATAAAAAACCTAAATTAAAATAAATTTAGGGGCCTTCACCAAACTTGCTGCAAGTTTGGGGACATAAATATCCAACAGCCATAAAGCTGTGAAAGCCCCCAGAATGAATAAAATAAATCCCACTTGCCTCAGACTGAACAGGGCAACACTGAGACTCTGCCTCAGCCTGTCCTATGGCAGGGCTATAGGAAGAAGAAAAATTTAAATTTTAGAAAAAACATGACCCAATTAAGTGAAAGACATGCATTCAAAAGTTAACAAAATTCCAGTGATCAAGCAAACAAAAGAAAATTACTGCAATAGCACCTCTTTGGTTAGGACCAAACAGTATTTTTTGAACTTGGTAGCTATTTCTGAATTGGACAGTTTGTTTTGCTTTGTATCTTGATCAATGGAACGTCAGTCAGTTCTCTTGGGGCATTTTTCCCATAACTGATAGTACTTACTGTACTAGTTCATGAAAAGTAAAGATTCCATCAGCCACTGGAAATGTTCACCCTTGTCTTTGTGTTTATGTAGAAACTAGACCAGTACAATTATTAAGACATTTACTATTAAGTGCCATCAGTTCCCATTTTAAATTGCAGCCCCAGCTCATGGACTGGTGTATCAGTCTCAATTTAACTGAAGGTCATAATGCCCTTCTTGCTGTTCCTACAACTAATGTAATCTTGGTATTTTATTTTTTTATCTTGTATGCAGAATTCTTTGATTCCTATAAAATAACTGTGGGTTATAGATCCCCTTCAATTTTATCCAGGTTTTAATAAGTTACACAGTTCTGTGTAAGTGCTGTTCAAGAGCTCCACACATCAAACCAATGGCAGAAACCACAGCAGGCAGATGCAGCTGAATGTGTTTCTAGAAGCTTATTTATATTCTCCTTTGCATGCACAGAGTGAGGAATTGTTATCCACTGTTATTACATATTCAGCCCAGCCTCAAATTTATTATCACCACCTAAAATCTCATCTGTGGAAAAAAAAATAATCCAGAAGTTTCAGAAGAAATTTTTAGTCCACATAAGCCAGCTAAATGGTCAGTATTTTACTGGTTTGCCAAAGGCAGGAAGCCATTCTAAAGGCAGCATGAAAGAGTCACATCAAGTCTTCTGAAAAACTAGCCCAGGCTTTTTCAAGGTTCTTTCATGCCAGTCTCATCCCTTTTGCCCTAAAGGTCAGCTGCTCATAACAATATTATGAGACCATGCATAAAATAATTTAGAACCTTTCAAACAAGTCCTAAATGCCATAAATTCTGGCACGTTTTTTGCTAAACATTTTCCCGCCTCTGTCTGAGATTTTCTTGTAGTGTTATTTTTTTGTATTCAACATTTGCATTACACTGCAGTTCCAAGACTGGTCAAAATGCTCTTGCAAGTGTTAACTTTACTGTAAGATCTGCCGTGGCGTATTTAGGCAACGACTGAAAAACAAAGCTTCTGCCTATGTAATTACAGCAGCAGAGTCCTGCAGCAGCACAAGAGATGCTTTTCTGTGATCATAAAGGCTTCTGTCATCTCTTTCCAGGGAGAGATGAACTCCAGCAGAAGCCTGTTCCCATGGCTGTGTTACACGTGGGATTTTGCTGGCACAGTGCTGTTGGTTACACTTGGTACTGTAAACCAAGCCTTAGTCTTGACACAAGCCACTACTAACATTCCAAGTAGTTTTCGGAACTCTTTTTGGGTAAATGCACCATAAATCCAACTCTCTGAACATTAAGAAGCAGTATCCAAAGAAATGAGGGCAGGGACCAGCAGACAACACAGGCACTGAAATACCTGCCTGTTTACAGAGGAGTCACACGAGAGACAAGAGTAACTAAAGGCAGCCACATCACAGCTCTTATAGCACAGGAATGACAGGAGCAGGAAAGGGAGTATCCACGTGAAAATCATGGAAAAAATTGTTCACCTGCTTCTATGTGAGTACCAATGAAAAATATGTGGCAGTACTTACTTGAGGGATTATCACAACATTACAACTAAGGAAAGCTCAATCTCAAAATGCATCCAAGCTTTAAGTCTATGCAGTATTAGCTACCAAATGGTACCATTACAAGAACAATGAGACATTCGCTGTTTTAAAAGAGGGAAATTCTTAATTAATACAACTTGCAGAATATGCTGAGTTAACAGTACATGCAGTAAGGTTTGATCCCAGAAGGAGGGGTCTGAAAACAACATACAGAAAGTTATGGAAAGACACCGAACGAAGAAGGGATTTACTTGACTGGGGTAGGAGGGCAAAGCATCCTTACAGCAGCAATATGATCTCCAGAAAAAGCAAGAAGTTCTACACTTTTACAAGCAGTAGTTAAGATCACTTCATAAAGTACGAATTTTATGTGTAGTATTACAAAATGGATAAATATAAGACATTGTAATAATCTCTCCATTGTTGTGTAATTATCCTTATTAGGTAAACAGAAGAAAACCAGAGTATAAAAGCATTGCCTCAGCAAAACAGTTTTATCTGTTAGACTTATGTGTAAAGCAAGATGAAGAGCTAACAAAAGATCTGACATCAAGGCCCACTCAGCACATTTGCAAGCCAAATACTGCACATCTGACAGGTGATCAGCAGATACCAGTGATCAGAGAGGACTGCTTCTCAACAGAGGCTTGGAGTTATGGTCTTACAACTGCTAAACACTTCAGAGAAAGTGCCTGGTAATTCTTAATGGTTAAAATAAGGCCATTCAGCTGTAATTAGACTGCACTGGATGCTCTTGTGCTTTTAGGAGACATTCTGTGACCCCAGGTCAGAAGCTGAGACCATGTAGTGCTTTAGCTGTACTGTATTTTTGCACTTTTAAGAGACAGTACAAAGCCACAGGAAGTACTTACGTGCAGCTAAAAACCCCCAAGACTTTCAAGAAACAGAGCCATAATGCTCAGTAATAGCATTTAAAAAAACTCCATCTACAAAAACATCTGTGGAACAGCGACACAAAAATGCTGACAATCCTTCTAACCTATCCTAAAAGAAGAGCTATCCCCATCAATTAAATTGCACAGATAAGGCTTGAGGCTGGAACATGTATTTAAAGTTGACCTGCAAATGAAAAAATTCACCGCTCATTTTGTTTCCTCCTGTGATAAAGAGGTCAGAGAAGCTCTCACTGCCCTCCCCTCCAAAAAGTCTCTCTCTACATTCTCACTTTCAGCAGGAATATAGCACAGCAACACAGTGATGTCAGATACTCAGAGAACTACAATCTTGACAGGAATTTATGACTCTGCTCTTATAAACAGATAAATGACTAATTCATAGGGAAAAGCCTCTCTGATAAAAAGGTCTCTTACTCCAGACACTTTCACTGAATGGCTCAAGAAAGAAGCTCAGTCAACATCTCATCACACAACAGATGGTTACAGATAGTTCATGAAATTCTGAACACTTAAAAATACAGCGTATAACACATTACTCTTGCCTGCTCTGCCTCTTTCACACACTAAGAAGGTCAAGCTACTATTTCTCTTTTGCAGGTCAACTTCAATACATCAACTGGGAGTCACTCACCCATGTGACATGCACCTGAGCTTCTAGAAAGATGAACCTGAAAGACTCCTGCAATTCCTATGCACTTGCACATTGAGAGGGGTCAGCTGAAGAGTGAACTAACAGGACACACCTGGCACGAGGATGTGTCTTAGAGCACTTTCACATCCTACAAGTAAGTGCCAGGACTAGAAATCAGTTAAAATTTATTGAGGACAAGAAAGCACAAATAAAGAAACATATGCATTAAGAGAAGTTACAACTAGAGTTAGGATGTGCCTCCTGCAGCCTCAGTTTTGAGGAGTCTGTTAATAAGTGTACAGGTCTTTGTCTACTCAGATGTACAGCTAGAGGAGTGACTTTTTAGAACAAGGAATTCAGATTTTATCAAAACAGCACCTATAACCGTGTTCATTACACCAATGGCTACCACAGCATGCATCTGTACAAACCTTTCAGGCAGTTGTCCACAGCTGGTCACGAATAAAAAGGCATATAAATTTTTCTCCTCTTTTATTACAATGAAGTTTATAACAGTACAGAAAAGTCACATGACCTCAGCGGGTCAGTTTACTTAAACCCTGAAACAGGAGGAACTCTAAATACATTAAATATTGTTACAAGTTCAGACTTTAATGTACAAGTAGTTGGGAGTAGTTACAGCCCTCACCAAACTATGTTGGGGACATGAAGTCCAACAGCACTTGAAGTGCTGTGAAGGCATCATTTCACAAAGAGCAACGTAACATCACAGAACTTGCCTTTAAGGTGGTATGTTCATGTAATTCCAGCGCCTTCACAATTTAACGAACCATATTTACTACACTTCACTTCTAAAAACCTAGATGAAACATGAAAAAGAAGCCATACAGTATAAATTGCAACATCAGGAAAAGTTCCTGTTATTATTCCAAATAATTTTTCCCATGTAAAATAAGAATGTCCAATAGCTCCTTGCATGTGGGAAGGTACTTATATTTTTAAAGTCACAATGAAGCCTTAATTGACGGAAGCTCTGCTATATTAACAGCACAAGATGAGAAAAGGTTTAATCTCCAAACCTATTAGAGCGTGAGGAGGAGCGTCAGTAGCGGCCACCTTGCGACATTACGGGGGGTCTCATTCCCATGGGAGGTCGAGGAGGTCCACTTTGGTACGGGGGCACCATCGGAGGTCCCTGACCGTATGGAGGCATGGCCCCAGGAAGATATCCTGGCATGCCCTGGTGATGAGCACCATACTGACCTATAAACAGAACATTTAAGATGCAAAGAATAATTTTTTTTATTTTTTTTAAATAACGAGAAGTTGCTTTTTGTGAAAAGCTTCACCCCTCCCTGCCAGAATAGGCCACTTCAAAGTTTTAAAAAGGTTTATAGCAAAGACAAAGCTTTTCAGGAAAAGAAAGCTGGGAAACTTGTGATTACCATGAGGTGGCATGGGAGGTCTCATTCCTTGTTGCTGTGGAGGAATTCCTGGCTGTGGTGGCATCATACCTCCAATTGGTCCAACTGGTGGATTACCCAGGGCAGCCTGTCCTGGCCGAGGAAGATTGCGCTGGTACTTGGGCAACTGAGCCCTTCTCTCTTCCTAAAACCAGAACACACAACCACAACAGAGTGTGTTAAAACTCTCCAAAAGCAAAGTAAAGAGAGTACAGGTATTAAACTATTTTTAACCACCTTACAAATTCAGAGACTACCAGTAACATTACACAGGAGCACCTGGATTTTCCCCTTTCCTGCAGTTACTGCATTAATATCAGCCAACGGAGCGTTTTGCACACAACACAAATTCTGCCCCTCCCCAGCTCAACAAAGCCTTTTTCTCTTAAGCTGAGACAAAAATGCTGAACACAAATCTAAAGATACCTGACCTGAAATTAAGGTTCATTTGTTTTATCCATAAATTCCATTTTCTGACTGCTGTAACAGCACCAAAACCACTTCAAACTGTTCAGTCTCTTGTTCTACACTACCTGTATGTATTAAACTTCAAGCTTAAGTCACACTGCAGGAAAAGTCCAAATTACATTTTGGGTTGAGTGATTTCCCATCACCAACAAAGCTAAGGCACAGAACTGCAGCAAGAGCACTGCCATATGCCAGTCATCTCAGTTACATTAATTCTGCACAGTTTGCACTCTCACCATGATTAAAATACACATAATACAGAGCGCAGAAGAAATTCCATTTAATCAGCCATACCAGCACAAATTGCATTTTTCAGTGAGAGAATGAAAACATTTTAACTTACCAGTGATATATCCTCATCTGGATGGATCAACTTACTGGTTGCACTGGTTGTGGTGAGGGTAGCAGGCTTACTTGTTATAGATGTGGCTGGTTTAGCTGCAGTACTGTTGGTGGTGCTAGTGGTTGAGGCTGTGGACTGTGTGTAAGCAGGGAATGTAGGTTTTGGGGGCTCTGTTGTCGTTGCAGGTGTAGAATTCAAAGGTTTGAAATCAGTACCAACTGGCCCTGGCACAGCTGCTGCAGCCTGTGGAACACAGGGACAGGTCAATATTTGTGTCTCAAAGCATAAGTAAACTTAAATAATGATGTCTCTTAGAGCTCTGAAACCTTCCAGTGAGATACATAATTATAACAAGCTTGACAAAAGTAAAGTTCAGCCTTATTGCATACTAGAGCAACTGAAAACAAAACAAAATAAAACCCAGGATATACACATATACACACACACACCGGAAAGTCTAAAATTTGCAGGTCAAAAGCCACAACTAGACAGAAGGAACAAACAAAAAAACCCCAAAACCCCACTATCAAAACCTTTATCTGAAATACTGAATTTGGTAGATGTCTGAATCTTTCCTGAACCACTGTTTTGTAAAGAGCTCTAAGTATAAATTCATTGTTCTCTCACTAATTAACATACTTTAGCAACCATTAGTTCAGAGTACAGCTCAAACTGATAGTTTTCATTAAAATTTAGTAGTTAAGTAATATTTTAATCCAATATTTAAGAAAGCTCTATTGTGTCAGGGCTTTGAAGTGTTCTCTGCATAAAAACACTGAAGCATTGTCACAAAGTACTATGTCTATCTACAGAACTTTAATCTCATTTGAGAATGAAGAATCAGCAGAAGCAGATACGAGGTTCACTACAGATTCCAGCAATCCACCTTTCCTACTTTTTTCTTTAAAAAACCCTGCAAATGTCTGCTTTACAAAGCTGTCTCAGAAGACATAGCAATCTCCAAAGCAAGCCTTAGTTATGAGAGAATGCTTTTGTTTCTAGTCACTGTGTATTTACAATTATCTGAACTTCCCAATCGAAACAAACAAAAAAATCTAACATTTTGCACATAATGCAAACGAAAAATTCCCTACACATTGTGATGTACCATATTAAACAACATAAACTAAAAAGCCTTAACCATGCATCAAGCTATCCACTGCCCACTAAAATGCATTTAACTGCTTTCATGCTTTTTTAACCCTTTAGAACCAGGATGTAACATTCTTTCACACTAAAAAAAAAAAATCGGGCACTTTGACAAGTTTATTTCTAGTAAGACACAACTCCCAATCAAGGACTCTGCGGTTTTACCAGCTAAACATAATCAGGAAGGTAACAGAAGGGATCTGAAGATGTTTAGTCAATTTTAGATTTCACAGAACGGTCCAAAGGGTTAAGTTGCAAAGCAATTTGTTTTGAACTGTGACTTCCTGCGTACTTGTGCTGTGCTAGGAAACAGAGCGTTAGAAGACGCTGACAGACTTTCTGAATTGGAGGAAGCTGCACTTGAGCTTGTGACAGGTGTCCCCATCTGTAGCATAAAAGAAAGGAAACAGTGAAAAGTCTCCAAACAAATGGGTGGAAAGTATCCACATGAAAGGATTTCTTATGCTAAACCCTTTCTTATTAAAGGACTGGGCTTTTGTAAACAAGTATCTTCCCTGCAGAAGTCCAAAATGCAAATAATACACTAAGAAGGTTTCTAAAACATACTTGAAAGCAAGTAAAGACTTCAGGACTTACACACAAGTGCATTCAAAGGGAAGAGGTCACAAGCCACAATCAATCCCCACTTCCCTCCCCAACACATTCAAATGAATTTTTTACTACCCTAACTTACTCCTAAACTTTCTGAAGTAAAGGACCTCCTAACTCAGGCAATGTTTAAGCAGTTAAACAAGATGACAGAATAAATCAGTCTATCAATTGGCAGAGAGCCCATTATGAGAATAGCTGAGAACAAGTCATGCCAAGACTCATAATTTGTAAATCTCAGGTAGAGTTCTGTGCAATCAGACTCCTGTGGCTGACTAACACACCCCTTCACCCACCCAAAGCACCTTTATAAACAACAGACTAAAGGCATTAAACAAATAAGTGTTTTGCCTACTCCTCTCTTGCCCACATGCTTACAGAATTATTTGGTTTCACGGCTGTTGCAAGACAAAGAATCTCTTACAATTCACTCAAGCACTACACTGAATTAAACTTCAAAATCAACCCAAGCAAGAAACCAGTCATTTCTGGGGCCTCCTCAGTAATAAACAGCCACTGCTGACACTGTGGCAATTTGATGGATATAACAGCAGCTATTCCAGGCTCTGGGATCCCTTACCTGCCCCGCACTTGGGAAGAGTGGTTTAGTGACTGGAGGCTGTGGGGTGGGTGCTGTTGCAGCAGGAGCTGGAGGCCGGTTAAGGATGCCTGGAGCTGTGACAGGCTGTGCTTGTGTCATTGGGGGCATGCCAGGCCGCGGCCCCACGGGGGGAGGCATACCTGCAACCACAAAGCATTGCCAACGGATCAGGCTCCAGGGGGAAAGAGTATTCCTTTAGAGAATTCTGTTCACAGCGTTCCTCAGAACCATCTCCCACAAGGAAGATGTATTTCTAAGGCAACAGTAAAACAAAACATGACACAGGGTAACATCAGCAATCACCAAGCAGTAACACAGGCAGTAACCTCCAACCCTTCAGAGCAGTACTGAAATAAGTCACTTTTTTACTAAAGCTTCCATAATGAAGTTTATGCTCTCATTAAACCAATGCAATTAATGCAGTAACTGTTTCCAACACACTGTGCCTACCCTGCCACGAGTGTGGATGAGACTGGTACAAAATCAAAGAGCCTCAGCCCTTATGAACAGCACCAGGACTGTGACAAACACTGTCAGTGCTGGGGGGCTTCAGCACGGTGACTTTTTGTAGTCTGTCATCCCAAAACCGGCACTTGGCGTGCACGGGGCTCTAGGAGAGGGTCAGGTGGGAAGTTAACAGCTCCCAGGGGTTCCATCAAGCAAACCAGCAAATCTCAGCTCATTACCACACAGCTGCTGCTCAGGTGGAACACCCTGAGAACTTAAGGCTGCTCGAGAGCTGCACAAGCTCAAGAGACATCTCTTCCAGCTATGGTAAGAGACCAAAATTGCAGTTAAGTTTCTTCAAACAGAAGGCTCATTAGTTGGGTAAATCACCAGCATTATTTCTCACATTCCACATTTTCAATCATTACTATTTTCCAGCTGCAGCCACAGACATTAAAAAAAAGGGATGAGGCAACACAACAGCCAGAGGATATGCAATAAGAAAACTATATTCTATTTTTCACTTTAACAACAGAGTAAAACTCAAATAATTATTTATAATAAAAAGCCATAAATTAACCACCTCTGCACAAGAGTGACTTCTGTGGCAATCAAACCACATCAAGGTGGTGGCACTTATATAAATCCTATATCTTAGTGAAAATAAATAAATATAACTCTCACCATAGTACGAGTTCGACAACCCTGACCTACCTGGTGGCATACCAGGCATAAGAGGTGGGATTCCTGGCCCAGGAGGCATCATTCCACCCATTGGCATCATCCTATTAAACAGAAAATGAACACTGGTATGAACACTCGCGATAAACTGTTAAGACAATTGGCACATACCTGTATTAGACAAAAAAATCATGATAAATAATTCCAAGAAGCTCCCAACAGAGGCAATTCAAAACCAGCTGACTCCACAAGAAAAAAAACCCCAAGAAACCCAACACCCAAAACCCCAAGAAAATTTGAACTTTAATTTCTTAAGATTTCACTTCCACTATTATGAAATTTCCAGAACTGGTGTCCCTCTTGAAATCTATTTCAGGCTACCAGTTGCAGCAAAGTGTTCCAAGAACACTCAGGAAGTCTGAATGTAGGAAAACAGCCAGTTCAAATCACCCTTCAACCACTGTACATCTGCTGCTACTCCTCTGACACCACAAGTGAATGGCAGAGAACCCAAATGTGTGCAACTATCCACAAAATATTGATAAAAGCAGAGGGTAAGAAAGCTGCTGGAGTTTCAATTACAGTAAATAATCCACATACTAATGATAAAGTGGATTTTTTTTTAATATGAGAAGTTCTCATTATAATATATTTTTCTCCATATTAAAAAGGGCTTTTCCTTAGATGAATATGTGTGACTGTTTTACAGGGAACAAACCAAGTGTAGCTTTAATTTGCTTAATTTTTTGCAGATGCTCGAAGACAGATAAGGGAAACAAACTAAGGGAACACTCATTACTTTAGTGAGCAAGACAAACGGATGTGCAGCAACACCCCAAAACCCCACTAAGAAGCAGTTTGTTTGTATGACAGAGTCAAGACACCTTCACCACTGGTGTTTCAGGATCAAAATAAATCACCATGAGGAGGTGAGCACTCATTCTGCAAAGCCTGAGTTCTATTCCCAAGTCCTCTGCCACTGCTAAAGGGAACACCCAGTGCAGGAGCAGGAGTGGCTGCAGACATAGCACCATTACCCCTTTTTGGGGTGATGGTCAGAGGAAGCAAAGTCAGTCCTGACACACACATTAGACACAAAAAAGTGCTGGATGCTCCCTGCCTGCTGCCCCCGGAAAGGGAACTTCCCGAGGAACTGCAGAGACAGTGCTAGAAATATTGTCAAACTAAAAACAAAGTTGCTTTCTGTGTCCTAATTCCTCTTTCCTCATTTTTAGACACAAGACAATCACGTTAAGTAAGTAAAACTTTAGATTAAAATGGGTAAAAAGATAGTGCAACCTCTGCTCCCTAATGGAAATGCAGGGAAGGTTTGGCAAATCCAGCTGTGTTTTTACTGGGTGATGTAACAGTCACCTGACATTAACAAGGAGTTTAGTCAGGACTAAGCACCAGAAAACCTGATTAAATTCTGTTTAGTTTCCACTCAGAAAAGCTAAAGTTATGATGAGCATCCACACCACATTCGACTATGACATGATTTTTAAATTCAAAGATTGTTAAATCAATATTTATGTCCCAAAAGACAACAACCTTCCACCTCAGTGAACTTTAAAACTTAAAAACTGAGTTCCTGCAGTATGTTCTGCAGTGTAAAGGACTGAGCACATGGAGCTCTACTCTGGTTCAAGAGACCCCTAAGGGTCTATTTTGTTAATATTATGTAGAGCACATGTCACACATAGTTTTGTAAATATTTAGATAAAGCATAAAAACATATTATACAACAACAAAACCTAACTAGACATTTCCCCCAAATTCTCAGGCAATATTCAGAGGTTTTCAGTAAGACAATTTCAAGCTTATCAAAAACATGACATAAAATGGCATAATGAATGTACCTAGAATTACATTAATGAGATGCTTACATGTTTCCACCACAAAATGACTGCATGTATTTTCTCTGTTGATGTAATCTGTGAAAATTTATGACAAAATCAAAAATCTAACTGTGAATTTTCAAAACACATTGTGATAGGGTACGGTGTCAACCCCAAACAAGCATAAAAAACCAACACCTTTTGCCCAAAATACAAGAAAAATATTAATTATCCAGTATCTTTTTCCTGTAAGGTTGATGACTGATAAGCAGATGCACAACATATGTGCAGTGCACAAGGGAAGTGGCTCACAGAAGGCTCTAAACCAACACAGCAAAACTTTAAATTAATATACTACTATTTAATGAAGTTAAAAGAAAGGCAACATACTTTACACATAAACTCACAGCTTGGCCATATTTTACATGTTGGTTTACAGCCATCCAGTTCTCTAGTTAGTCTTAATATTTAGGTCACAGAGTTTACAATTTCCTAAACACATTTTTTTAATTAGCTTTACTTCTTCTGTGACACTTTGAAATGCACAGTATTTATATGTAATATCAAGTCTTCCTTGCTACTCACCCAGGTGGCATTCCAGGCATCACTGGAGGCATTCCAGGCATCATAGGTGGAACACCTGCCATTAATGGTGGAATACCTTAAAAGAAAAATACATTTTCAGCAACTCTGACAATATACAGTTGCTAGCAAATGGCACCTAATAAATGTGGACTGGATAACTGCTTTACAGGGAGCTCTAAAAGGTTGCTTTTGAAATAACGTTGCTTACAAACAACACAATATAAAACACCTGCAAATCTGACTTGGATTTGTTGCTCTCAGTCCTGCAAGACTCTAAATTTTCTTAGTGGTCTCCAAAGAACACACCTTACTGCAAGGAGAAGAGACCATTTTTCACTCACTGAGCAAAATTCTTTCCTCCCCATATTTGTGGCCTGTGTATAAACTGCCTGTTCTGTGTGAGCAGTCTCTACATACACAACAGCCTTTCTGCCCTGTTTCCAAAACCCCACAAACAAACATCTCTGGCAGACATCTCTTTGAAGCACTAAGCTGCCTTACCACCACATGCCTTCAATCTACATACCAGCTGTAGGTATCTTAATCTACTCCATGAAGGAAGACGTGCAGGGGAAGGACACAGAATGGGGGAACAAAATGAAGAAACTGCTTATCTGCACCTCACAGAACTATTTCATGACCTCCCAGACCCAGTGTTAAAAGGGCAGATTATTACTCAGCACACCAGCAGCAATTTGTGTAATTTCTACCCAGCTTTTCACACCCTCTCACCTGGAGGCATCCCTGGAGCACCTGGCACAGGAGGCAAACCCGGCTGTGCCATTGGGGGAATGTACCCCTGCTGTGGCTGAACCTGCTGGGGTTGAAATGAAGTCGAAGCCGCAGATTCGTCATCTTCATACTCATCAGAATCATCCTGTTGTTTCTTTTTCTGGCTCTCTGCAGACAGGACAGTGGATGGTCAGACAGAATGCAAATCACATTCTATGAAATTAACTTTATCTGGGGTGTTCTGGTTGGAACAAAACCAGTAAAATTCCAATCTGGAGCTGCCATTAGAGAAGGCGTTAAAGCCAACCCTCACTGTGTCCACGGCTGAGCAAGGACCAGACCAGGGAAATAACACTTAACCAGCCACATTACACCTTACCCTGAGTTTTTTGTTCAAGTAACCTCCTCCGTTCCTCCATATCTTTTTCTGGAATGCCCTCCATCCCATAGATTTCCAGTTCAATGTCTGTTCTTCCGGGAATAGCATTTGGAACAGCATCTATTGTTTCCTTATGTACCTAAAGAAAAAGAAAACCAAACAAATGCTGCTGACCACAATTCAGGTTCAATTCTCTGTGTTCTTCAGCCAGTTTCAAGATAAAAAAGGAACATTCTTAATGGGAATAATCTCTCTGGCCAAGCATATCCTTGATTGTGCTTCCTAATCTCTGGTAACTACTATTAGCTCTAAAACCACTTTACAGACTTGTCTTAGAACAACAAGACAACACAATTCCTTCACTCCTCCTCCAGAACTGAGGGCAGAGATCTCTGCTGCACAGTGTCCATCTGACTGCTGACACAGCAGGACTCCTGTGCTGGAAACAGGACACTGCTGCCTTTTTTGTATCAGTCTTTAAGACCCTGGAAGCCCCAAACACCACCTTTTTAAGGTCACTATTCATTCAAATTTTAGATACTCTTAGAAAAAGCCCATGTAAATCTAACACTCCTTACCTGCATGCAATGTATAGCTAAACCAGGTCCTGTATACAGTTTCTTATGACATATATGGCATTTAAAGTGCTTTGCTTTCTGATGCTGTATAAGGATTTTTTCATCGTCAAAATCCCTATTACAATACCTGTAGAAGACTGTTAAGGAAACATTTAACCCTGAAAGTGACCTCCTAGACAAAATCAAGGTAATTAGCACCAGGGTGATTTTTGCTGAAGCAAAAGACACAGGAAGCATCTCTGAGCATTCAAAGAGTAACAGCTATTTCATGTATGTCTGAAATCACCACCCTCATGTGATCCAGTATTTCCCTCATCAGACAGGTATAAAACTGTGTGCAATAAGAATAATTTGATTCCATGTCCTTTGTCACGTGGTTTTCAAGTCCTACTTCTTTTTAAGTGGACTCGCTCTTTCTCTTCAAGGGTGTGGATTAAAATAAAGTTGCAAAAGCACTAAAGGAGAAACAGACTGAAAATCAGAAAAACGGAAGCCATGATAAAGACTCAAAGTGTCTCTTTAGTAACAAGTACCGGTAACTAACAAACATAAAAGAACAAAGGTCTTAGTTAAAAATTCCTTTCCTACCCAGCTATCAATTCTTCTGACACTGCATAATTTGCTGCAGTCATTAAAGAATTCTCTGCTTTTAAACAAAAGTATTTTAAACAAGGAACTTTCTGGATATCTACATAACCGAAGAGGCAAAACTGCATTTCCTTCCTGCAGGTCAGCACTGGGATTTCAGCAAACACTCCACACACATCTTCCTCGGCAAGACAAATACACGTTTGCAATTCGTTATTAACACAATGTTAACACTGTTAACACAAAGTGTCTCTTGCTTCCGCCAAAACGTGAAATACATTAACATCTAAAACAGAAGCCTTCCAACATAAAATGGCAAAATATCTCAGAGGAGCTTATAAATTCCTTTATTAAACAATCCTAGATTGGGCAGAAACATCTGAGAGAGAGAAAAGGTAAATTTGTAACCACTCCCCAATAGACAGCAGATTCTGAAGGAGGGACCGAAGAAAAATCCACCGGTATTTCAGGACACTGAGAAATTCCACCTGACGGTGATGCAGCAATTACAAATTTGAAAGCCTTCCCGGCCACAAAAAAAAAAGAAAAAAAAAGGCAAAAAAAGAAAGAAGTTTCCAAAAACTCTCTTTTAATCACATTCCCCTCCTTGAATAGCTGTGTATATTAGGAGCAGGATTTTCTCGCTTGTAACATCCTTTCCCCGGGGGCTAAAGATCGTTTTCTTTTTTCCCCACGACGCCGGCAACCCCGCGGGCCCGGTCCGGCTTCAGGGAGCGAGTGTGAGGCCGCGGCCTCGGCAGGAGCGGCCCTGAGAAGAAAAAGGGCACGGACCGGGGCCCATCCCGAGCAGCACTGGGATGGAACAGCGCCGAGCACCGAGACAAACCGTAACGGGGGTGAGGAGAGGGGGGAGCCCTGTCCCGGGGCAGGCCGAGGCCGAACGGCGACCGCGCCAGGCCGCTCCCCTCCCCCACCCAGATCCCCGCACCCGCCGCGTCTCACACACAAGGATACCAGCACCAAGGCTTCAGCTGCTTCTTCTTCTTACGTCCCATGGCTGTGGTAGCGACCCCGAGCTACAGAGCAGGAGAGCCGAGCGCTCCCTCAGAACCGCAGCGCCCGCGCGACCGCCCCGGACCGAGCGAAGAGGTACAAAATGGCGGCCGAGCTCCCTCAGGCGCCACCGCCTCCGCGCTCCCAGCGTGCACCGCGCCGGGAGGGAGGGGAGGGGGGAGCGCCCACGTGACGCGCGCGCGGCCCCCTCGGGCTGTCCCGTGTACCCTCACGGCGCCGCCGCCATTTTGTCCGGTGGGGGCTGTGGGTGCGCGGCCTGAGGCACTGACATGTGTCATAGAGTTATAGAGTCACGGGATGGTTTGGGTTGGGAGGGACCTTAAAGAGCATCTCGTTCCACCCCCTTGCCGTGAGCAGGGACACATTCTATTAGACCAGGTTGCTCAGAGCTCCATCCAGCTCACCACCCTCACAGCAAAGAACTTCCTCCTAAGATCTAATCTAAACTGTTTCTCATCTTCGTATTTAGTGGCGCAGAGAAACTGTGTTTTCCCTACGAAATCTGACAGGGCAAGAAGACGGTGTTGCTTAGACTGTGCTGTGCACCGCTGTGGTGCCAGCTGTGTCCATGTTACGTACGGGCTGCTGACAGTGAGGCCGTGGGGTGTGGGGAGCCTGGCCCTCCGAGAACACAATAAAACCAACTGAAACGTGTTGAGTTGTCACCCTCCTCAGCTTCCTGTGCCTGGCCGGGCTGGTCCCTCTGTTACACTGGCAACCCATTGTGGGGTGTGTCTGTGTTATCCCCACAGCTCTCCAGCTCCGGGCCGGTCCACTGGCTGCTTAGAACGTAATCATGGAATCACTGAGCTTGGAAAACACTTGTAAGATCATCAGGTCCAACCATCAGCCTCGTCCAAGGCTTTGCGGTGGCCCTGCTGCAGTTGGGGGTCAGAGCTGCTCCCCACGAGGCTTATCTGCAACACAAGGGAGGCTGTGGAGTCTCTGCCTCAGGAGACATTCCAAACCCACCTGGACGCGTTCCTGTTTCACCTGCTGCAGGTGACCCTGCCTGGGCAGGGGGTTGGACTGGATGATCTCCAGAGGTCCCATCCAACCTGAATGATTCTGTGATTCTGTAACTGCCGGGAGCTAAAAAATGTGCTGCTGTAACACAGAAAGAGGTATTTCGGAGGCAGAGCTTTTTAAAACAGACAGCACGGCTAATCCTGTCAAATGCCCCATAGCAAGGTGTTGGAACAAGATCATCTTTAAGGTCCCTTTCAACCCAAACCATTCTGTGATTCTGTGATTCTGTGAAACTTGATTTGAGCGGGTCCTGCCGTTAGGTCAGTGAAGGATCGCCTGTACTGACACGGGCCCGCGGGGTCTGTACTGCATTGTCCTGCGCGCTGCGCCAACAGGAGCCGCGGCAGCCGGAGCCGTTCCGGCCTTGGTGAAACGCTGGGTCTCGGCGGGGTGAGGACTCGGCCCGTGGCCCCTCCAGCGGCCCCGAACGCTCCTCCCAGCGCCGGGCCCGGGGCGGGCTCAGCGGGGCGGGTTCACCGCGCACCCACCGCGCCTCGGCGGCTCCGGGGCGGCTCCGCGGGGACAGGCGGGGCTCGGGGCTCGGGCCGCGATGCTGCCGGCGCTGCCGGACGGCGATGAGCGGGAGCTGGAGAGCAGCGAGGAGGGCGGCGGCGCGGGCGAGGAGCGGCGGCCGGAGCGGCACGGCAGCACCTACCACGGCCTCTACGGCTACCGCAGGTGAGGCGCCGGGTCCCCGCGGGGAGGCCGCCCCAGGCCTCGGCTGTTCCCAGCTCCCTGAATCCCCTGTATTTTTTCCCTCTTCTCTCTCCCGGATGAGATTCTTTCCCTCCCATAATGCACCGATTCCGTGCTGCTGCTTTGACTCGCCCTCGGGCCGTACCTTTCCCTATCGCGGTCCCTGTTCCGTGTCACGGGTGTAAAAATCAATCCTGGGAATCCCTTGGCTTTCAGGTCCGCGCAGGGAGCGGCCGGCGGGGATGGCGGGGCCGGGGCACACACCCCCTCCACCGAGGACTTCAGGTAAAGCCGACCTGCAGAATCACCTGCAACACGCTTTGAAGTCTCTGCCGAATTGCTGTCAGGTCATTGTTAGGTCCATTGCAGTGCCTTCAAAGCACAAACCCCTGTGAAAGCAGACTGGAGTCCCCTGGGTGCTTCTTCTGGAATACCTGAGGAATGGACACAACTGCATAGCTCAAATAATGTATTAAACATAAGTTACCATCTCTGAGTTTGAACTCTCTTTTCTTTGCTACTTCATATTTCTGTATTGACTTAGGTCTTCGTATAGGTAACAGATAACAAAAATTTATTAATTTTCAGTGGACATGTTTCCATAAGCTCTGTATCACAACTAGGGAAACATGGGAAGAAAGAGCTGCTGGGAAGGTCAGCATGAGCTGACACCATAACTCCAGAGTGCTGGGGAGGGGACAAATCACTGACTGCTCCTGATGGGCCACAAGTCAGAGACCTGTCAGCTGCCACCAGAGACAGATCACAGGGGTCCCCCTGCTAGAGGCAGGTTCTGTACTTGGTGAAACAAAACGGTAAAACATTTGATTTTTGCTAACAATTTCTTCTTGTTTGTAAAGCCTCACCTTGCTGGACACGAACTTACCAGCTGAAGCGGAGACAGAATTGCGCGGTTTTATCGCCAAGCGCCTCACTAAGGGAGCCCTGTTTGAAGGGATGGGCAGCGTAGCCTCGGTGGGGCTCAGGTAAAATATTTAAGATTATTTGTGGATGAGAAGCTGTAGGGAACATTGGCAGCACTGCACATCTTGCCTGTCTGCTGCTGCTCTTTGGTCTAATCCTGGTTCCATGTTCTCAGTTTACTGCTGCTGTTAATAACAGCCTTACACAAAGGCACTTTCCTTTTTTACGTAGCTTCGAGAAATATATTGCAGTAAATAATTTAAAACAGTCCGTGTGTTTATGATTATTTCCTTTTAAACTACTCTAATCACACCACAGAGGAAAAAAGAAGGTTTAAGAGCTTTATATATGACCATAGGAGCCACCAGTGCTAGTGGGTGAAAATTCTCTCAGAAATCACGTATGTCTGCTTTTTGCACTTATTTATTGTGATGTATCTGGAACAAAATAATTTTTTTTTTTTTTTTTTTTTTTTCACAGCATACCAGAAAGCAAAGTTGGTTGTTACTACTGTCGTTTCCAACAAGAAAATCTTCTAGAAATGGGGACACTGGAATCGGACGCCAATGCTCCAGAATATGTGGTCTGTTTCTTAGGTGGCTCAGAGAAAGGTCTGGAACTATATCCTTACCTCTGACTTCCTTTACTTGTGTGAAGAGGGAGATGATGTAAAAATTATCCTGTCATTTTGTCTGTTTCTACCTGAAATCAGCTCGTTTGTGCACACCTTCCAGTAACTGAAAATGTCAGTGACAGCCATACACTGAAAGGGAAAAATGCAGGTCTTAACTGATGCACCTTATTTTCCTTAAGAAGATACTTTCAGACTTGAGCTGGACAAATACATTCAAAGTCTGAAGATAAACCTTGATTTGGAGGTAAGGCCTAACTCTTTTGTGGTGAAAATGAGTATTTACCCAAATTAATTGCTAAGACAATCTGGAAGATTTAGTCTATAGAGTCAAAATAGGTGTTTTAAGTAGCAGTAAAACACTGTGAGAGATACTTGATTCACTGTAGTGACAATGAATGTCTAAAGTGCTCTCAACCACATAAGTCAAAAGGAAAAAAAAAGAGAAGGGAGAGATATTTTTTGTGCTAGTCATGAATCTCTTAAAGGTTACTTACAGTTAGATTTGGAGAGAAGAATGACTAATAAAAGATAATGGTCTACAAGGAAATCATTGATGTCCACCTCGATTCTTACCCCTTCTGAATGTTAAAGAAGGATTTTTTGTGGGTTTCTTGTCACATTTTTCTAGTGGAAACTCTTCCTCTTAAGTCTCTTTGTCATCCAGTCTGCTGTTGCATGGTCTTTGCTCAGTATATACCATAATATTTCAGTTCTGGCTGTTCCTTAAAATGCAAAGCCTTTCATTGCTGATAAAGTGCGGCTTTAAATGTCAAACTCATTATTTTAGTTCTCTGTGGTTTAGGATTAAGAAGGCTCTGACATCCAAATATCTTAGGTTGAGCAGATTATTAATAGGCTTCTATTTGTGTAGAAATCTAATTTGTAGTTTAAAGCTTTAACGTTTCAACCTGTCACAGCAAAAGAACTTGGAGAGCTGTGTGAGCCCCTACTTGAGGAGCTGGTTTGAGGATGCCATCTGCCCGATCCAGAGGGTAGTGCAGCTCTTCCAGGACAAACTGGCCTCTCTGTTACATGCTGTAAGTGTATTTAAAACTGGGTAACTAAAAAACCTTCAGAAGGCACCTCAGTGACTCCAACGTAGTTAAAATGTTTCCTGCATTTGCTTTCCCAGCAGGAGGAAATGAAGAGCAGCTTTTTTCTTCTTTTTTTTTTTTTTCCCCCTTTTAATTCAGCACAAGTACCTTTTCCCTCCTTTATTGCTAAGGAAACACGTAACAATTTCTTCCATTAATTATTATAGTTAACTCATATAAAATTACCTAACAGTGCCCATGTTGAAATTAGAATAAGAAAATTAGACATAGCCTGAGCAGGCTGTCCCTGGTATAATTCCCCTGAACAAAAAGGGGTGTTATATTGTGTATGTGCCTCCTGTAATTCACTGGAAACAGAAAAGAAACTAATCCTAGCTCTAATCCCTGAGATTGAGGAGGCTTTGGATGGAATAGCTAACAGAGTGTAACTGCTGAATTTCTTCTGAGTGCAAAACCTGCTGCAATAACTAGAACATGGAGTACTGCCTTGAAAAGAACAATTTTTAAAGTACCACATTATGTATTTATTGCTCATAACTGCAATATAGCAACAGCAGTGATAGCAAGGTTGCATCCAGCTTTTTTCTTTGTTTGTGTTCAGGCTTTGAGTTATACTCCTGTAGAAGTAAAAAATGCAGATGAAAGAACAGAAAAGGACATCAGCAGGTAAAGATACTTTGGGACCAAGGAACCTGTGAGTAACTTGGCTTCTGTGTGTGACAGCCTCCTCCCTGCTGTCCAGGAGCTGTAAAGAATCAAGCAGTTCACAAGAGCTCTCTGTGCCAGGTTCCTGGCAGCTGCCAGCCTGCAAGGACTGGTCCAGGAAGGCACAATGACCTCCCTGTGCATTGCCATGACCGAGGAGCAGCACAAGTCCCTGGTTATAGACTGCAGTGCAGCTCAGCCCCAGTTACACAATGCAGGTGAGATCACAGCTGGGAATGCTTCGTGTGCCTCCCTGGGATCCTGCAGCTGCTCACAGCTGGGCATGGCAGAGGCTGTTGAGGATATTCAGAAACTTGTAGGCTCCTGCCCAGAAAGTTGGGATTCTGGCTGGAAACTACAATACCTGTCCTAGGAAGTACCAGGTTGGTTTGTTACCCCAGACACTGGAACTCTGGGTTGAAAATGCTTGATAATAACACCCATCATTCATCCCTATGAAAATACTTGTACAATTCAGGGAATCTGCAAAACTTATTATTCCTGTTGTGATTTTAACAAATGCTGTGAAAAGGGATTCAACAATCAGAGTGTCATGTAATCACTGTAGCTGTGTTAGCTTTTCTCTTCCTTAAAACTTATTTCCTGGCCCAGGTATATGACTATCAGTTGTTACATGAGAGGGATTAAACCAGGTGAATGCAGCTGTATATTTATGTGGAGCTCATTCACTCTTCTCTTCTCCATGTTCCTGAACATGTAACAGGGAGCAACAGATTCTGTGAGGACTGGATGCAGGCTTTTGTGAACGGTGCTGAAGGTGGCAATCCATTTCTCTTCCGGCAGATTTTGGAAAACTTCAAACTGAAGGTACATGCTCATGTATGTTAAAGACTTGAAGAAGACATGGGGGTTGCTGAGGGAGCAAATACTCTTCTTGCAGCAAAAAAAAGTTGCAGGTTATTTACAGTGTCTGTATGTCATTAACTGAGTAACCCTGAGGTTTAATTTGAGGCCTGGCTTACTGCAGTTGACCCCTATAAAGCAGTATGGAAGTTTCCTCAGTGAATGTTCCAAAGGTGTTTTCTCATTTAAAATAAAACCCACCTTTTCTTATTTTTCCTTTCTTTAAATCCTGTTAATCTGAGCTGTGCACACACAATATGGTGTAACTGGTGACACGGGTTCAATAGTTAACACTTCTTAGGTGAGCTGCCATAATAGGGGAATTCTTGCTGCAAGTTTGGGCACACCAAGTTGTGTCCACAGTAACAGTGGTTATATACATCAGGGACAGTACTCCATGCTTACATTACTCTTGAGTAGTAACACAAAATTGCTATTGGAAATGCTTTTGCTTCTCCTGTATTCATCCTTCATTTCCCACATGGTCACGTGTTTTCTTCCACACAGAAGGATAAGAATATGCTCTGCTTACTCTTTTAGGCCATCCAGGACATTAACAACCTGAAGAGGTTTATCCGCCAGGCTGAGATGAACCACTATGCCCTGTTCAAGTGCTACCTGTTCCTGAAGAACTGTGGCAGTGGAGACATCCTCCTGAAGATTGTCAAAGTGGAGCATGCAGAGATGCCAGAAGCCAGGAATGTAGTGACCGTCCTCGAGGAATTCATGAGAGAAACAGCAGTGGCTTAAAATTACCTTACGTATAAATCATTCATTTCTTCTGTGAAGCTATTGCAGAATTTTTAATTTATATTTAAAAGTATTACCCAAGTCAAACTTAAGTTGCAGCTTCACCTGCCTTTTGTCTTTTTCAGATGAAGCTTTTTAATGTGTAAATATCAGATCATACAAACTCTGGCATAGTTTTTAGTGCTTACCAGATTGTCCAACTGACTTGCTCCTCTTCTGAGGAAATCATGATGTTTGTTTTTTACAGTCACTACATGAAAGAAAACCCAAACCCAAATCCCTTACCTGGCAAGCATTTCAGTGTTTTTAATATTTTAAATGTCTTCAAAATTATCGTGTGTAATCATTAGGATCTGGCTACTTTGTTTTAATAAAGGAGCACAAACATCTGGATAGATTATAGTAAATGAATTAATCAGATTATATAAGAGAACATAGGTAACAAGTCTGTAGCTACTTTGTGCATTCTGCTTCCAAACTGACTGCTCTGTCACTGGATAAACAAGTCATTAAATGGTATGAGACAGAGCTGCCTAAAGACTGAACAGTTTCAGTGACACAGGACAGGCATCTGAAGCTATTTGATGAATCCCTTCTTTCTTAGTTTGTGGTGTGATCAGCACCTTTGTATGTTCTTAGTATCCACTTTGCTAACTGTAAATCATCATATTTTTTTTAATTAGGAAGAATTAAATCTGAAAATTTATAGATTAAATATTAACTTTAAATTAGATGAAACTTCTTCAGAATTGAAGTAAATTAAGTCCCCAGGTTCAGACTTTAAAATATTTTGTTGTATTTCAGCAATGAATTCTTTCCCACATCATAGGACAGGTGGGCAGCAGAATACCTGAAGGAAATCTTTGGCTACAGCTGGAATCCAAACTCACAAGGTCTCTGAGAGACCTCCTAAATGAGAATGATTTCTGCAAACCTGATAACAGCAAAACTCCTGTGGTTTCCCTTTGCAGCAGAAGGTGTTGGGAGAATTCTCCCTGAAGCAGTGACTGTGATGAACATGGTTCAGTGTGACTGTTGTGCCTCTGCTCTGTACTGTGATGACAGAAGTTTGGTGCTTTCCTGTGACACCACTGTGTGAAATAAAGTTTACAATAAACTCAAATCCTTAGTAGTGTGCCTGTAAATTGCAAATGAGTGTTGTCCTTGATGTCTTCTGTGTCAAACCCGTTATCACACAATGCAGAGGAGCTGCAAGTGTCGTATTCACAGCTCAGTGCTCAAAAAGATAAGTGGGATGTGAAGAACAGGTAGCAAGAAAAATGACAGGTGCTCGTAGGCAGTGAGACTTCTTGTGTTACCTGAAAAACACCGACAAAACCCACCTCACCTTCTTGCTGGAAGTCCTCAGGTAATGAACAGAGAGATTTAAGTGTCTCCAGAGAGCTGCCAGGAAGAGCTGAGTCCCACACATAGCAGCAGTGATCTCCTCCCTTAGGAATAACACATCTAACAGGAGCTGCTGCTGGTCACATCTTCATCCCTGGAAGTTACACTTTAACCCACAAAATCCCAACGACAACATAAAATATTTTTCAAAATAAGCCTCCCACTTTCACATTGGAACTTTCTGGATATGTTGTTTCCACTGTCGGTTCAAGAGACCAGAATGTGTTGGCTCTCAGATTTAAAGACACTCAGTAGAGACTCGTTAAAAGGGCACAACCCTCCTCCCCAATAACAACATTTAAACAGTTTAATGTTCATGGTTGTCACCCTCCCTGCAGTGCTGAGGTCACTGCTGCACTGCAGTGGCAGCTGCCAAAACGTGGACAAGACCTGAATTTCCATGCAAGTCCCAAGCTGGTTCCGCATCCTCATTATGTCCCAAAAGAAGTGAAGCTGCACTTTACTCTCCCCTTTATCTCCTAGACAGACATAAAAACAAGTTACCAATGTCATCATTAGAAGATTCCATTGCAGAGCTCCAAACCAATTGCTCTCTTGTTAAATAATGTGTTAACTGCAGACAAACTGACAAAACCGTCCTTGAAAGTTTTTTCTTGGTTGTTTTTTGGCACGTGATACAGAACAACTTAATTTTATTAAAAAAGAAAAGAAAAACGAAACAGAAAACAAATAAACAAAAAAAAAACCACCAAAAAAAATTTAATGGATTCTGCGCTCAAATAATATTGTTACAACAAAAATATACAGAATGTACACAATACAAAAATATTTGGAGACGTACCATAGCATCTTACCTTGCAAGTATCACTTTGTTTTACTAGCCCTTCACGGGAAAGTATCATTTGTTCAGTATTTTAAGGCAGAAAATCACTTAGTTTAGTGCTTTGTGTTTAACACTCGGATGTGTTGTTAACATTAGCAGTGTAAGCAAAAGAAAAGCTGCATAAATCTGGCTTTATTTGCAAACTAAACAGACACTGTGGGGGAGTCAGGAGAGAGTCAGTGACAACGTGTCTATCAAGCTCACTGAAAATAAGGTACTTTTGCTACTTAAGTCAGGCCTAGGGAATATTTTGTGCTCCTGTTGTAAAGTACCCTGAAACATAAATTTTCTGTACTCCTACTGGCATTTCAGAAATACCTCATTAGAAAGCTTTTTCCAATTAAAAGTCAATGATTAATGGTGACATTAAAAATACATTTACCCTTAAACAAGCTTGTTTCCTGTCTTAAGTATGATTCTTTTTTTATAGAGCTGCAGGATGCACTGTTTTCCTTCATAACCAGCTCTTGGCATCAGTGATTGCAGGAGGAACCTCTGAGTTCTGTCCCAGAGCACTGCAGAGCAGCCACCTCTGTAAGGAAACAGGAGAGCAGCAGCATTCAGAGGTGCTGGCCTGGCTGCTCCAGGGCCCAGCTTGTCCCCAGAGGTGGCTGGTGCTGAAGTGCACCCACATTCTCCAGTTCCACTTTGGGTAAAGCCAGAGGATGGGGTTTCCAAAGTAATTGAGCTGAGCTGGAATCTGTGTAAACAGACTTTGAGCTCTTTACTCACTGAAGAATGTGTGAAAGTCCTGCCCACGGGAGATGCTGTGAGATGAAATATTGGCACAGAGCAGCAGCTGCCTCGAGGTCAGCACAGAGTCAGGTTAGTGCCAGCTGTAAAGTGTCAGGTTCATCCTTCCTAGCCCAGCTCAAACTGAAATGGTCTGATCTGAAACACATAGGCAGTGTAATCCATCAGAAGGAGCAAGGTCTTGGGATGCAGAATCCCCAAGCTTTATTTCTAGTAACAATTTCTCCAGCCTCCCCCTTCCCTGTTGATTACATACTTCCCACTGCCAAAGGAGCAAGTAGTGAAAAATCACAATATGCCATGTAAGTGCTAAGATTCCTCCTCGACTGATGGGGGAACAGTGACACAAGATGTTGTCTTAAGAACTCAGCAAACGTAAATTCATCAGCATATGTACAACTGCTACACCTCACTCAGGGACTGTTTCTGGTAACCTCCCTCCTCTCCCATCACTGCACTACAACTCTCTCCCTCCTCCTTCCTGTGTTATCACCCTGCCTAAAATTAATCTTTACCTGTCTCCAAGCATGAGGGAATAAAAGCTGCCATTTGGACTTTGATCTACCTGGTTCTCCTCCTCCCTCCTCCTGCTGCCTGAGCCCCTTCTCCCGCCTGTCCCGGGGAAGGCAGGAGCCGGGTCCCGTCCTGGGGAAGAGGCAGGAGCCGGATCCCGTCCTAGGGAAGGCAGGAGCCGGCTCCTGTCCTGCCTCCGCGCTGCCGGCAGGTGTCCCTGGAAGCTCCACATCCCGCATCCAAGGCTCCCGCACTGCTCCTGCCCCATCCCCGCTGGACCTGCAATGTGCTCTCTGCAAGGGAATCCCTGCACAGAAACGGCTGATTGTTTTTAGGTGTTGTGTCCTCACTCAGGGACACAGCACAAAATAACTCCCTCTCAGGTGCCCTGTTCAAACCTGTCCGTGGGTGACACTCCTGCTCTGGCACTGCACAGCCGGGAGGGTCAGTAAAGTCACATTTTATGTGACTGATGTAAAATCCTGGCAGCAGCTGAAATAAAACCATAGGAATCACCAAAAACAGTCCCTCGGAGGACACTCCTTCAGGAACACGTTGCTGACTGGGAGAAGTTGGAACCACAAATGAGCAGGATGGGGAATATTCCGGCTCTGACACGAGCCAGCAGCTCCAAGGACATCTGGAGGTAACAGGAAAGCCTGGCTGCTCTCAGCTCTGTGGTGCTGCAGCACTGTGGCACTCCTGGGTGTGTTAGAAAACAACATAACCAGAACTCACAGTACTCTGTAAAACATTACAAGTTTTCACACTGTAATTTTAGTGATTAAAAGAAATAATTACAAAAGCTTAAGCACTTGGTGCTGCTCCTGACTCCGTGGGCTGATCGATTCCTAGCAGACAACCTGCTCCACGTATGGGGGGAGATTTCAGCTCTGATGAGCAGGAATGTGAGAGGGTTTCATTGCTTCACTCCCAATAAATCTAGTACTGCTTTAAAGTCTGGCCTTTCTGGTCCCCAGGGCTGTTTGTAGAGTTGCTCAGGCAGGGTATGGGGAGACAGAATGGAAGTCAGGAAGATGAACAACAGCTTAAAAGAACAAGTCATAAGCTCAATCTCAGAGCTGTTTTCAACCAGTTCATGTAAACTACATCAATCTGTGGATAAAGGACCAGAGAGGGGGGGTCTGCATTACTCTGTTCAGCTCCTTCCCACTCCTGAGCAGACCAAAGGTATGTTGGCCATGGTCAGGCTGATGAAGAAACCGGTGGCTCTTGAATCTGAATCTTGCTCCTTCACTCCAGAGCACACACTGGCAGGCACAGAAACCCTCGCTGGGGAGAATCTGATGGGCATTAAGTAGCTTTCAGCTGAGAAACCAAAAATAAAAGCCAATTGGTGCATACTGTACTCTGGTAAATTACAGGCAAAATAGCTTGGAGCGGCTTTTTTTGCAATTGGAATTTTCTACCAACATTTTAAAAGTTTCCCTAAAACTTCAGGGGAACTCCCAGTCCTGGTCACCTCTGTTTAAAGGCATCTTTGATGAGAAAGGCTTAGCAATAGGTGAGGGAAAGAATGTCCTCCTTACTTGTTAACCATGTCTCTGCCAGCACTCTCCCTGCTCTCCTGCTCCCCTGCAGCTCCACAAGGAGATGATCTCCACTGCTACAGCACTCCCTGGGCCAGCACCTGGAACAATCCATGGGAACTCTCGTGACTGCTTCCATCTGGATCTGAACTGCAGAGGGAACAGGGCACGGGGAACCTGAACAGAGCTCTGACCCTTCTCTCTTCCTCTTGCTCCTGGGTCTGAGGGCCCACAAGCATTGCACTGGCCATGCAGAACAACAAAGGTGCTGTCACCCTCAGAAATCCCATTTCTGTGCACAAGGGTGCCAAAATTGTTTCT